GAAAACTTTTCATACGGATTTCTCCTAGCTGTACCTTAATACTTTCCCAACAATGGAATGGTTGTAATAAATAATAGTAACAAAATATTTGCAAATATTTTTACAGTTATGGTGGCGTGGAAAACAGTGGCGAAAATTTTTACAACTTGGAGCGCATAAAACAATTCAAATAAATACGTTTGTTAGCGACAAGTGGAGAGCAACGGACGTGGAAACGAATGAAGTTTTTGTGATAAATAATAGAAAGAAATACAGACCTAAAGCCAACACAAGAGACACCAGAGCTGTCTGTGTCATAAAACGAAAAGGTTAGAAAATTATCTGTTTTATTTTCAATATTATTTCAAGTCATATTGCATCCAATTCACAGTTACATATATAATTTAAATGCTTGGTTACCTTTGTTCCATTCTATGCTTACATTATCAGAACAGTGGTAACTAGGCATGTGAGTTATCAAGTCACTCATATATATAATTTAAATGCTTGGTTGCCTTTGTTCTATTCTATGCTTACATTAACAGAACAGTGGTAACTAGGCATGTGAGTTATCAATTCACTCACATATATATATAATTTAAATGCTTGGTTACCTTTGTTCCATTCTATGCTTACATTATCAGAACAGTGGTAACTAGGCATGTGAGTTATCAATTCACAGTTACATATATAATTTAAATGCTTGGTTACCTTTGTTCCATTCTATGCTTACATTAACAGAACAGTGGTAACTAGGCATGTGAGTTATCAATTCACTCACATATATATATAATTTAAATGCTTGGTTACCTTTGTTCCATTCTATGCTTACATTATCAGAACAGTGGTAACTAGGCATGTGAGTTATCAATTCACAGTTACATATATAATTTAAATGCTTGGTTACCTTTGTTCCATTCTATGCTTACATTAACAGAACAGTGGTAACTAGGCATGTGAGTTATCAATTCACTCACATATATATATAATTTAAATGCTTGGTTACCTTTGTTCCATTCTATGCTTACATTATCAGAACAGTGGTAACTAGGCATGTGAGTTATCAATTCACAGTTACATATATAATTTAAATGCTTGGTTACCTTTGTTCCATTCTATGCTTACATTAACAGAACAGTGGTAACTAGGCATGTGAGTTATCAATTCACTCACATATATATATAATTTAAATGCTTGGTTACCTTTGTTCCATTCTATGCTTACATTATCAGAACAGTGGTAACTAGGCATGTGAGTTATCAATTCACAGTTACATATATAATTTAAATGCTTGGTTACCTTTGTTCCATTCTATGCTTACATTAACAGAACAGTGGTAACTAGGCATGTGAGTTATCAATTCACTCACATATATATATAATTTAAATGCTTGGTTACCTTTGTTCCATTCTATGCTTACATTATCAGAACAGTGGTATAACTAGGCATGTGAGTTATCAAGTCACTCATATATATAATTTAAATGCTTGGTTGCCTTTGTTCTATTCTATGCTTACATTATCAGAACAGTGATATAACTAGGCATGTGAGTTATCAATTCACTCATATATATAATTTAAATGCTTGGTTACCTTTGTCGCGTCCTATAATCCCCCTATATGCTTACTTCTTTGTCCTATATTAATATCGTCTCTCGTCTTTTTCAGGTCAAAGAAACACGGATATAAAAGCGTACATAGAGACGTTAGTGGTCTTGGATAAAACTGTGCGAGATCAGTTTGATAGCAACAGTGAAGCTGAAAAATATGTTCAAGTCTTACTCATGTTGGTAAGTCAATGAACATTCTTTTTATATGAAAGCTCGTGCAGCATTTTCAATCAATCCAATCTTTTCCATAATCTTCTCCATCTCCTTTTTTCCCTCGTGAAGTTTTTCATCTTAAATGCTCTTAAACGCCTTAGGAAACGTTTTTCTTTTTTTTCTTTTTAATAGTCTTCAAATGCATATAAACACGAATCTTTAACCCAGCATGGACTCAAAATTGATATAATTCCTTCAAAAATAGTGATTCTAAAGGTAAGTCTAAATTAATTTGAATATAGTAACAGTAAAAAAGAATATCTAACAGTACCTTGTCTAGGTACGTTTAAGATAATTCTTACTGGACCTCTAGGGAGAGCAGCTTAGAACTGATAGAGCTAGTATCCAGTATAAATAAAGTTAGTTCAATTTAGGTAACACTGGATCAAAAAGGGATGATCCTTATACTGGACCTCTAGAAAGAACAGTTTAGTTTAGCACTAAATTTATAATAATTTATCCTCAACTATTTTTTTCAGAATGAAGTAAATTTTGATATCTCTAAGAGAGGCGACAATCTTTACACTGCATGTGATGTCATGAATAAACAAGAAAAGGTTATTGGTTCCAAAAAATTTGATCATAAATTATTCCTGACAAGGTAAGACCTTATGATCTCTTGTTCCACTTTGTTGTACAAATGTGCTTTAACCGATGGTATTAAACTGACGAGTCGACAGTGATTTAACTTAAATCTTTTATTTTTTGCAGGAATCAATTTGGAGCAGCAGGTAGGAATCTTTCAACTATTTACGAAAATAAAACCCGATAAAATTCAAACCATTACATCAAAAGACATTTTTGGTTTTGATCGACATCTTGTCTGTCTTGCTATTTTTCAACACAGTTTTAATTGCAATAGAAATAAACGACCTGAGTTAAAACATTAAAAAAATAGGCCTATATACAAATAATAACACAGCCTCTTCAGTGACACGCCATATTGTGTATTGCGTATTTCCTAGTTTCCGAAAACCAGATTCTATCCTCGAAGCATAAAAACAAAAACATACAGCGCTCTGCACGAGAGATGTTGAGTTATTGGAATATTGCACTTCATTTAAACACACTGCAAGATATTCTTTCCTTTCTTTTTTCATTTCCAAATGTCAAGCCCAAGGCAGTCGTAAAGTACATTAGTTCAAATTTTCTAACAGAAATTTCCTGCATTTTCAACAGGTTTTTCGAGAAGTCAGGCAATGTGCAGTCGTTATAGCAGTTGTTCCATCGTATTTGAACATGGATTTCATGCAGCATATTTGGTTGCACATGA